GGTTTTTTTTTTTAAAGCCAGACTTAATATTTTCCAAATAAGGACCACCAGGTGCCTTTTCTTCCTCAAGACAAATCACCAGCTGTCAAGCTGCCGCGGAGTGAACGATCCAGTGTAACAAGACGACTTCGTGACAGAAGCCCGGGAGAGCTGTACGTAAGAGGGTCTGACCCACGCCGGGTCTACAGGTCTGAGCTCCAGCTCCGCAGGGTACGCGGCCGGCAGGCGGCTCCTTCACCTACCGGGAGCAGCAGCGCCGGGGCGGAGGCGGTGGGGCAGCTTCTCTGGGCGGCCCTGCTGCCAGAAGCCTAAGTAGGTGCTGACCCACAGAGGACAGACTGTGGGTTACTGCAGGAAAAAAAGAACTTACGCGACTTACTAAGTCTCCACACCGAAAAGGCTGAAAAGTTCCGAAGCTGTGGGAAGTGGTCATTCAGAGTAAAAGGTGGCTACACCCTGAAGAAAGCTAATGCAGCTGTAAGAAAGACTTCTCTGGGGTCACCCTCCCCTGGAGTGCAAGAACACAAGCACCACAATGATATCACAGGCTTCAAACCCACCGATACCTCTCTTTAATATACAAAGCTCTACCACAAACACCTTTAGTACCTGTACAATTCAATTAAGTCCAGAATTCTTCTATACTACTTTGGTCTCTACGTCTGAAAAGCACATCAATTAACTCTGAAGATGTACAACTGCACAACACGACCCTGTTAAGAAGCACATTTCGCGTGGACTACAGACATGCAACCATGCAACCCAGTGTTCAGTACCTAAGTGATAAATAACCATGCGTTTATCCGGAAACCACTGAAAACGGGGATCATCTTTTAAGACTCCGTGCTCACACACATGCAGAAAAAGGTCTACGTTTCGATGCTTCCTGAAGGAATGTCAGAGAATGCCCACTTTTCGATCCGTCATCTGCCTGTGTTACGGTACAGGCTTCCGGTCGGTCACGGTGGAAACGGACCCAACTCCCAGGTCCGGCCGAGCGGCTGCTCCAGCCCAGGCCCCTTCACGCCTTGCTCCCGTCTTCTTCCTCCGCCAAAATCCACTCTGGGCGGGCGGAGGGCGTGGAAGCCGAGGCCGGCAGCAGCCCTGTGTCTTCTCTGACTGTCGCTCCCACCGCACACGACTGGGCTCGGGTCTGGGCACGGAGGAGCCCGCCCCGACTGGCGTCCGAGTTTGTGACCCACTGCAGATTACAGACGGCCATCGGGATGCCAGCAACAGACTGGTCCTCTCGCCTCACTGCTCCATTAGGAAAGGACATGGATTTTAGCAGTGACTGCTTCAGGGTTTAAAAACTTACTCTTATAAATCAGTGCAAATGATCGTCCATTCCACGCCATGTTTAAATAAAAGTAAAAAACCTCACGCTGCCGAGTTCTGCTCTTCCGTGGGTCATATATATTACGAGTGTATTCAAAGTACAAAATGCAGTAGTGACGTTAACGCTGACGGTGTAATGGAGCACTACCCGTGAGACTACCGGGTGTAATTTCGTGGAAAATCGTAAAGAAATTTCACAGGTTAAAAAGAGTAAGCAAAAAAAAATAAATAAATAAAAAATGAAAAAAAACGGGAGAACTGTTACTTTTAATAAGTAGCCAAATGAGAACTTTTTTTCTTAAAAAAAGATTAAGAATGTAAAAGTACATCTTAATATTAAAAAAGCGTTTTTAAAAATCTATAACAACTTTATGACAAAAATCTGTATTTGAAAAAGGCCTGTAAAAACAGCAGGACAGAACCGTCCCGTCCAGTGACTCCGCCTGTCCCCCACCGACTCCAGCGCGGCCCGGAGGGAGGGACAGGAGGCCGGCGGCCGGACGTCGCACTAGGTCTGCTGCCTGCGCTTGGCCGAGCGCATCTTCTCGAAGCGCGACTCCATCTCCTCCAGCACCCGGGGCGTGTAGCGCACCACCAGCTTCACCTTGCCCTGCGCGGCCTTCAGCAGCTCCACCGCCTTCTCGTGGTGCTCGCCCTCCACGCTCTGTGGGGCGGGACGGGGCGGCGTCGGTGGGAGGTGGGGACCCTGCCGCCCGGCCAGGGGCTTCAGGAGCAGCCTGGGCCTCCCCGGCCCTCCTCGCCCCCTGCCCGACTCACCACGCCATTCACGGAGAGGAGCTGGTCCCCGCGCTTGAGACCTCCGTGCCTGTCCGCGATCCCGCCGGGAATTATCCGAGAGATGTAGATCGGGGAGTTCTGCTCCTTGCCCCCCATGATATTAAAGCCGAGGCCCTCTTCCGTCTTCGGCAGCTCCACCACGCGGGGGTGCGAATGCCCCTCGCTGGCTGCGAACGCAGCCACGGTGGCCTGGAAGGAACGGCATGTGGTCAGCTTTGTAAAATATTTTCTTCTTCTTCCCCATTTCAGGTATAAAAACCAAGTCTGAAAAACCAGACGCAAGTTTAAGTGTTTGTATTAAACAAAAACGCCAGTGTTTAGTTTGGTGAAACATTAACTAGCAATCAACTTTTATTATTTGCTAATAACTAACTCGAGAACGACTCACCTACCACAGACACCAGCGTCCTCCAAGCCATCGGGACCCACCCAGCTCAGTGTGCAGGAAGTGTGCAAACGTGCGTGCCCCGGGAGGCCGCTGGCGGAGGGGAGGGGACCGGGAGCACCGGCTGCCTGCTCGTGAGCGCCTGAGGCCACCCGGTCCAGCACAGAACCAGCAGGCGAACAGGACCCTCGCGCCCACTACACCGCGCGAGGCAGGGTCCTGCTCTCACCAACGCAGCACAGGTTGAAAGGTATCATACGTTGGTTTTCAGAACACATTTATTTACCATGCAGCTAACAGCCGGCTATTTCCACCGCTTAGGTAGGAGGAGCCCGGCGTTACCTTCGCGGTGGCGTTGGCCCTCACTTCGGGGCTGCTGCTGATGTCCACCGTCTCGTAGACGTGCTCGTACACCTGCCAAGCAGAGGCACCCAGGGCAGTGAGGTTTTAAGCAACGTTACTCAGCTTGGTAAAACATTTTCCTTTTGCCTCACGCTATTAGTACTCGCTCTGTAATCGTTACTGACACTTAACAAAAACAATTAAAAAAAGCCAAACACTTTTCTATGAAAAATTCCAGTACACGAGAGGAAGAAGGCCAAACGTTTTCCCGGAGCTCGTTTTCTGAAGCCAAAGCTGCTGTCGGCCAGCGCCCCCCGGGCCCATCCTGCCCGCTCACCTCACGCACCGCGGTGCAGAACTCGCTCTGGAGGACCCTCTGCAGCGCCTGGAGCTTCTGCGGCGGCACCTCCCCACTCCGCTGCAGCTTCTCCAGGAGCTCGATCGCTCTGCAGATGTCTAGAGACACACCAGAGAGAGACACACACACCCGGCTGGCGATCTGCTCCCGGAGCCGGAGGCCTGGCTCCCAAGGACGAGCAGACGCAGAGAGGCGGGGCTTGGTGTGCACGTCTGCGTGTAAGGGCGGCAGTGGAGGGCGGGAGAGTAACATCAGAGCACACTACATTTGGGGGATGAGAAAACAGTCCTGGTGTTACACAAGTACAGGCTTCGAAAAACAATCAGCTGCACACACACTCAGTGTCGGACACCGAATGGTCACAGGGAAGCGGGAGAGGACCGGGCTCGAGTGTCACAGACAGCAACACCGTATCGCTTCAGAAAAGCTGGCGGTATTCTGAGCAGCTTTCAGTCAATAAAAAAATCTCATTAACTTCGTAAGAAGCAGAGCCCTGAATCCCGAAAGAGACCTTGTTGGAGGGAGGTCTCTGCTCACTTCCCAAAGGAAATTGTGGGGCCTACACAGGTAGGGATGGTTCGGCCACAGACGCAGGCAGTGGCTGACAGCGCAAACGTTCTGGGAATGAAGACACGTGCAAGACTCGTGTGCTATTGTACTGCTTGTCAGGGTCTCTCTTGTGTTTTTTTCCTTAACTGTCTTTGCACCACAGGGTGCTCAATACACCTACTATTCTATTCCTTGACTTCTTCTGACTTAAGAGAAGAAGCTCCTATACATTATAACAAAGCCACAAAGGAGCACACTTTTTTTTTCTAGTTTAAAGTAATAAAAGCTTAAACTGATAAAAAATATTTGATCAACATACCCGGGGCTGCGGTGTAGCTCAGTGCTATGCACTTGCCTAGCCTGCGCTAGGTGCTAGATTTGATCCCCAGCATCTCAAAATAAATAAATATGAAACTCAATCAAGAAAAGATGAAAAAGAGTAAAACACTCTTTATCAAATCTAAACTATACCCTGTATGTGCTCACACTGTATTTCAAAGAGTTATATTTTGATGATTTAAGATCTCGTCTCACATGCACACTTGTTCTAGGACTGCTGGGAGTAGGTAAGAGTCAGCTGGCACCCTGAGTAAGAGTCAGACTTGATGAAATTTGACCTTCTTATCCCGCTAAATGGCCACTACTAGTAACTCTAAGGGTAAATCACACAGCCATGACTTTCAAAGCTAACTGGCAGAGGGTGAAGTTGCACTCTCTGCACCATCTGAAACTACACGAGACCGTCAACAACGACTGGAGGATCGTTTGAAGCGTACAGCTCTGCTTTCAAGTAAAAAACACGTACTCCTGTTCACACTCGTCAGCACCGTGCCAAGACGGAAGACGTCGCAACGTCGCAGTCTTAAGACTAACTTTGCACGTCTCCCCAAAGAGTTTCTACCATAAGATGATGCTTTCATCAAGGACCTGGTGGGCTGGAGAAACAACTCATTTATAAAAAAGGCTTCCAAATGGAGAACGCCATACGGAGCACACTAACGATTCTAAGTGCACAACTGTCTGTGGGAAGGCATGAGAAGTTACTCTATGTACAATGATTTAAAAAATGTATTTCCTTCTTAGAGCAGTAACATTCAGACTTTAACTGCACATGTTAATGTGTGAAAAATAACTTCGATCTCTATGCTAAGCTCTGCTTCCCAGTAGCGTCGAAAACGTTTACTTGGCACCTGCTGACTATTACCAATGACTGTTAATGCTGGTGTCAAAAGTAGCCTCGAAATATTTGAAGTAAAGAATTTGGGGAAAAAAGGGTGGGACAAGGGCCCTGCGAGCGGCACGTCCCAGGTGTTTGCACAGACTTTCTGATTTCTACACAGATTTCATTTTCCTGGAACACCTGGCTCCGGAAGCAACCAACCAACCTGTCTGCAACTGAAAGTAGGGTTCGTAAAGAAGAGACGTCACTGCGCCCTTAAGTGTCTCACAATCCGTCACCACCCCGGTTAGTTATGAGACCTCCGTCGTACGGTGGGTCGGCGGGATAGTTTGTGAAGCGCCCGCTCCGTCCCCAGGCGGGGAACCGCAGCTGGGGC